TTTAGTTTTTTTAGTTAATTTTGTTTTTATATATTATTATTTAATTTTTTATACATAAATAAGAAAATTATAATTAGGTGTACCATTAGGGTATATATACATATACAATCAGTAGATTTACAAATATAACAAATAATACAGGTCATATTAATATAGTAAATTCTCATAATAATAGAATGATGAATATTATATAAAATTCAAACTACAATAACTCTTTAACCAGAAACTTGCATAAATAAAATTATATTTGTTAACACTAGTTGAAAAGGTGAAGTTCAACCTCTGATTTGAGGTTGAATTTTTAAATTTTTGGTTGAATTTAGGTCGAATCAGCCAAAAAATCAACCTATATTCAACCTAAAAATACTAATTAGCTTAAAATTAGTATCTGATTTTAGGTTGAATTATTAATTTTAAAATTTGACCTAAAATCAAATTCCGAATTTAGGTTGAATTTTATAACCATTTGATCTAAAATTAACCTCTAAATTTAAAGATTGATTTTAGATCGAATAGTTATAAAATTCAACCTAAATTCGGAATCTGATTTTAGATCGAATTTTAAAATTAATAATTCAACCTAAAATTAGATACTGATTTTAAGCTAATTAGTATTTTTAGGTAGAATATAGATAGTAATTACATCTGTATAAGAGTTACTTGGGTGACCCATTAAACATTCCTTAATCGGGTTATTGATATTGTCACTCAGGTGACCTGAATTAATTATATGCTAGAATACTTTTAAAACTAGGAAACTAGAATCCGTTGAATTCTAGAATGCTGCTTCACTTCGAACAATGTTATCATATGAATAATATATTAAATTTATTGGTATAGTTTCTGAAAAAAGGCACTATATTAATAATCTTGCTAGTACAGTATATATATTATAAATGATCTATTTCAAATAATTGAGTATTATACTGAAGAAACAATGCTACAAAAGATTATTGAAGTACGATATATTATCAGTTATATAAAATTATATGTAGTATCATATAATAGATATTTTTATGTATCTTCAAATTCTTCATAAAAATAGATGTACAGCCAAGACAGAAGCACATAAAAGCACAAATTTCAAAACCTTGCATGCTTGAAAAAGCTTAGTTCGAATCTAAATAAATAGGTTGAAATATTATTGTTATATAATATTACAAAGTTATTTTTTTGTGAAAAAATTATAATAGCTTCATATTTTATTTTTAGAACCATGATATTAGTTCTGTAAAACTTTATTCTAAGCTATTAAGCCATTTAGGCAGTACATCTATTAAAATTCATAAACGCTGCATGTTAGCGAAAAAAGTTACATTTAAAGAATATTACAGTATACTAACATAGTTATGATCGATCAAATGATAGTGGTTATTTGGAAATTTATATCCGCCTTATCCTATTTCCAGAACCTACTTGGAATTTTTTTTCTTGCCTAATGTCTAGACTTAAGTTCCTTCACTCTGCTCTGGAAATTATGCTTTGAAACGCATTTTGCAAATCAAAGATAGTTATAAATTCAAGAAATTTCAGGAACCCTACCTATTAATACTATTATAATTTATACTAGCTATAAATTACTAGAAACAGACAACAGTAGTCAAACTAATAGCTTTATAAAAATGTTACTATTGTCAGAAGAGATACATTAATATGCAAGTATTGTATTAAGATCTTTTTAAATGCAATTAAATAATTATTATTTAAAATAATTAAATATTTTACTTTGAGACAACAGATTTCGCTTCCTTTTCTCATATACAATTAATCTATATCTAGCATATCTAGCACTATCCCTTAAACCATCTAGTATGCAAATTTGTATGCTATAACATAGTAGAATGTGAAAACTAATGTTTCAAGAAATACGCCTCACTAGCATTTACCATCTTTGCAGAAATATCTTTATTAACATTTTTAGTAATACTTATCATCTCAGCAAATTTTTAACAATGAAACAATGCTTCCAATGTCAGCAGATTTTTGATAGAGGTGTGAATATTTTATGTTTATATTTTTTCCAATTTAATAAAGACAATAATAATCACTTCAATACAATAGTATTCTATATGCTACAAGTTATAGCTTTCTCCAAATTAGATTTTCACATAGCTTTTTAAAATTAAATTTCTATACGCCACGAGTCCAAATTTAATTTTCTCAAAATTAGATTTCCACATACCACAAGTCATATCTTTTTCCAAATTTGATTTTCACATAACTTTTCAAAATTAGATTTCTACCGCAGATCATAGCTTTCTCTAAATTAGATCTTCATGCATCACAATGAATAGATTAGTGGAATAACCAAAATTTAGCAGATCAACCAAAAATTTGAGTTGGAATTCATCGAAGCTAAGTTAGTATTAGCAATAATGTTAGTTAACTATACTATAGCATAATTATTATCTGGTCAGCTTTACTTAGTGAGTGGGCTATGAATTTATTAGCAAAATTTTTAGTAAAATTTAGCAATGCTGACCCATTCTGACTCGGATCTGCTGAATTTTAGTTGCTCCACTATCTATCCTACTGCAATTATAGCTTTCTCCAAATTGAATTTATTTTATGATTCTCTTTTATTGTGAATCTGGTAGTAAATATTTGACTGAGCCAAGATCTAAAAGGTATGCAAACTAGTCTGTAATCGATTCTATGCTCTATTTCTGTATTATTATCTTATATTAAGTTAGATTCTTCTATATCTAGATTATTGTTCCAAATTAAGCTATTATTTATTATTTGACCAGAGCAAATTGTTAAAGAATCGAATAGAATAGTAATTAGATAATTGCCTAATAAGTCAAAATTCATTCAAAGCCAACTAGTTCACAGAATTATGCAGATCACAATACATAATTTCAAATAATTATCCTTAAACAAGTCAAACATACATCTAAGCCAACTAGTTCAATGCAGAAAGCAGAGTTAAATGCCAAAATTATAAGATGAATAATTTGTAGGATTTGCTTAAATTAGTCTAATGTATATTCCAAGCTAACTGGCTTGATGCAAAAAGCATAATTACGTGGCTATAATGTATTATTGTTAAGAAAGCATAATAGTTAATTTAGAAAAAAATCAGGTTTGCAGTGAAAATATAATATTTAGATATTTAAAAAAATGTATTTAAACTATGACTTATGATTTGAATAAAATTTCAGTTTCATTTTGAAATTAAATCATAATTATTTAAAGTCATATCCTCACTTTATTAATTTTAAACTCCAAATATTCTATACGATTACGCATTTATTAATTAAATCATATCTAATTTCAGTTACATCATAAATACATCATAATTTTTAATCAATTACAACCCTTACATTACTTTCATCATATTTAATTATCTTCTTATACTAACATTCAATAAAAATAAAGATGGACTCTCAAGAATCTAGTTCAAGCTTTCAAAAAAATACTTATAACGATAAAAGTGATAGTGATAATAATGAAAATAACATAGCCCCCTTAACAAATATATTGACTAGTAACAAAAACAAAAGAAAAAGCAAATTAAGTTTCGTGTAGAAGCATTTTGAAGTAATCAGAACAAAAGACATTTGCTAAGTTATTATTAAAAAAAATAGAAAAAACCAAAAATATGAAAAGAAATATTTCTATGATAATTCGACATCAAATATAATCACTCACCTATGATCGCATAACATAGTGAATAGTAAAATACTAAAATCTGATGTATAGCAAAAGCAACAAACTACATTACTAGAAATGGTTAAAGCTAACACTCCACATAAAGGTGATAGAAGAAAAGAAATAATCAGAGGAGTTGTTGAATAGATTCTTCTCAATAATGAACCCTTAGCGGCACCAAAGAAAAAGGGATTTTATAGCATGATAGCAATAATTTATTCAATATTTCGCCTATCTTCTAATAATATAATAAAAAATGAAATAACATTAAATTATTTAAAAAATATCAAAATTCTTAAACGCGAAATTGCATCATCTTGTGAGACTGCTACTTTAACAGCAGATTTATGGACTTCCCATAATAATCAAGGCTATATTGGAGTTACTTGTCACTGGATAACTTCTGATTGGTCACTATATAGTGTGTTACTATGTTGTGAAAAAATATCTTACCCATATACTGTAGAATCCATTTCCCAATTTCTTTTAAACAAATACACTAAATTTGATCTTGAAAATAAAATTGTGTATGCTGAACAGATAATGGCACCAATATGATAAAGGCTATTTGATTGTTGAATAATGTTATTCAGCTCCCATATACTATGCACATATTACAATTAACTGTAAATTTTGCCTTGCAAAAAATTAAACTACAAACAAAAAAAATAAAAAAGTTAGTTCAATTTTTGACTCACTAAAGCAACAAGAAAAATTAAATAAAGCCCAAATAAAAGTCATGGAAAGAGATAGATTATCTTCATCTAGATTAATTAGCACTGAAGTTTTCCTAGAAGAGGAGGAGGAAGAAGAGGAAGCTGGTGAAGTCTATAATGGATATAGTACTGACTCAGAAGAACAATTAAATGTAAGTACTAACTTCAAGTCTCTTCATCCAATTAAAGATTACCTGATGTGATAGAATTCAAAATATCAGTCTTGGGAAAGACTATTAAAATTAAAAGATACAATTATATGGTTAGAAGCTAATCTGAACATTTCACAGAACTCAGAAGACAAAAAAGATGAGCAAAAACTCAGATGCTACTTACCAGATGAAGATAAATGGAAATTAGTCGAAGAATTGGTCAAAATTTTTGAACTATTTGACCAAGCAACAGAAATATTTAGTGCTGAAAAGTATCCTATTTTATCAGTTGTATACCCTATAATTGAACTCTTGAAGTTCAAATTCGCAGCAGATCCAAATCTGCCTCTAACTGAAGATAACCTTAATGAAGAATGTAGTAATTTATTTTTTCATATTTTAAAGTCACTAAATTTCTTTAATGCCAATTCATAAAATATTAATACTAATACTTATCTTACAGAATCAAATATAAACAGTGACAGTGAAGATGAGAAAGAAGATTATCCTCAAAATATTCCTGATATTCAGTTGACGATTGCTCTAGTTAAACAAGCGATTTACAATTTACTTTGAAAATATTAAGCGATCCAAAATTTACTGGCCTACTAGCAACTTTACTAGATCCAAGACTCAAGAAAATGCGACCTTGGCCTGAAAATCTACAGGAAGAAACTGTTAGAGTGTGCTATGAAGAACTGAATATTATTAGTAAAATACTCATACAAACAATACCTTCCAATATAGTTTCAACTAATAATTACTTCAATTTAATTTTTGATAATAATGATATTAATGACGATAATTCATCTAGTAACAAATTAGATAAATATTTAGATATTAGTAAAGTGCCAATTGCCTCAAAAGTAACTAAACTCTTAATTTGGTAGAAAGAACAGGAAAAAGACTTTCTGAATTTGAGCAAATTGGTAAAAAAATATTTATCTATACCAGCTACTTCAGTCCTAAGCAAATATCTATTCTCTAATGCGAGGAATCAAGTCACTCCAAAACGAACTCATCTTGATCCAGAAACTGTTTTACAAATATTATTTTTAAAAAGAAAAAGTAATATAATTAATATTACATAGAATTTTAAACTTTACAAAACAATTCAACGAACATTTTGTAATATTACTCATTTCATATAGGAATTAAGTAGTCCGAAAGGAACTAGTTTGGCACTAGTCCTGAATTAGGACTACTAAGAACCAGTTCGAATTAGTTAAAAATCACTTGATATAAATAGGTATCATTTTTGACATATTAAATAAAATTTAAAATCAAGAAAAATATTTTTATTAGCAATAATTTTATAGATATTTCATCACTAATCAGGTGATTAATAGAACTTTGATTAGTGAATTTTAAATAAAATTGGTAACTAATTAGTTTATTTATATTGGTCTAAATATAATAATTCATCAATTATTGGTAATGTATATTGCTATATTGAACTAGTTCCTAACTAGTTCAGGACTAGGACCAGACTGGACCGTATATTTAACATCCCTATTATTTGATTATTAGGTTAACGTCAATATTTTGGGCTTAGGCATGGTGGAAATTTAAACACAAATATTTGATCAAATCTCATAGGTCAACCTTAATTATATGATTAAGTTTATGCTATGTTATGATTCTATGTAACTTCTTCATATGTTTCAAAGAACAAATATTTTGCTAAAAAAAAAAATAAAAAAAATTAAAATAAAACATTCTTTAGTTTTGTAGCATCTAGAAAATATGTACTAGGTTAGTACACCATAATAGCTTAATAGGATTGGATTTTTCGGAGATTCATATCAGAATGATTTTAAACATTGTTTTTAATTATCTTATCTTTTATTATAAAAAATGCAGCGAGTACAGAGATATATAGTAATTATTTATATATTTGATCATATGAAACTTAAAATTTTGCTTTGTTTAATTATATGTACATAAATAATCTAGTTTCAAAATTTAATAATTGTTTATTTTATTTTCGCAGATCCAAATTATAATGTTAAAAGTTTGTGCTTTTTTCTATGATATTTTAAATAAAATTCTCCTCAATGAATTTAAACAAGAATTAAATTTAAAGGAAATCTAAACAGTATTAAATTATATGTATAATTTTTTTTTACAAATTAAATAAATTTTTTATGTAGTTATAAATTTATTTAAGCATTAGAAGCTATTTATAAATTCAAAGTTTCTTTGTTTTTTAATTGATTGTGCTAAAATAAACAATAGACCTCTCTAGCTACTGTAGCATGCCAACCTGTTACACATTTTCCAAATGCAATTTGTAAGAATGTTAATCTTCACTATACAAAGAAACTCAAGAATGAAAAGTACAATACTTAAAAAAAAATTATTTTGGTATTTCCTGCTATATATATATTATAAACGTCAAAATAAGTCAAGTTTGGAAGATTCAGAGAGCCAAGATCAGGAGTTTCAGAGAGCCAAGATTAGGAGATTCAAAAAGCAAAGATCAGGAGATTCAAATAGCCATGATCGGGAGATTCAGAGAGCCAAATTTAAAAGCTGATGATCTTTGTGCCTAATGTAAATAATGAGTAATTAAGGTTATAGAAATTGAATCTTTAGACATATAGACGTGAATATATTAAGGATTAAGTAGTAAATATGTACTAATATTAATTGCACAAAGATTATAATAAGTAAAATAAATAGTGCATACTAACAAAGGTTCATATTTTCTTAATATGAATAACTGGATCAACTGGGTCAACTGGGTTAACCAAATTATTTGAAGTGACCCAGTTTGTGACCCAGTATTGATCTTTTAAATAGGTGATTAACCTGGAGTTTAAATTTTATACTAAGTTCAATCTCTAAATATAGGTTGATTTTTGGCTGATTCGACCTAAATTCAACAAAAAATTTAAAAATTCAACCTCAAATCAGAGGTTGAACTTTACCTTTTTAATCAGTATAAGTTTGTTTTAACATGCTCTTTAAAGTAATAATACTATTTTTTTTATTTTTATTGTTTGGAAGTCTTGGCAAAGTTCTGTTTGCACTATTGCATATCGTATAATACAACAAATTTCTTATAGCAGTTTTAGTTAAACAAACCTGACTACTATGTACTCTTGATCACAAGATATAAATAGTGATTATCAACTACATTTTTTTTTTTTATTGTTTTAACTCGATATATATATTAGTTATTAAACAGTTAATATTTTTGTTTTACAGAAATGTTATTGGGTATCATCATTATTATTAGAACTTTTACTTTTATTTTTTTAGAATTTGATGTCATTGTTATTATTGGAGCTACCCCTTTTAATTTTGAATTTAGTGTCATTGTTTTGGCTTCATCTTTAGTATCTTAGTATTTTAGATATTGTCATTTCAGCTTCATCTTTAATGCCTTGGTGAGTTAGATACTATTGTTGTTAGCTACTTTTGCTAGGAATATATATGTTGTTATTGGGTAAGCTGGTTTAGTTTCACTTCTAGTCTTTTGAATTTGTTCTTCTAGTGAAGCCATTTTTAGTCCTTTAAGTTTATTTTTATATATCATTATATAGATGTTTGTATGTTTTATTTGTCCTTGTATTCTGGTCTATAAATGTGTTACTAATAGCTATTCTTTTTTCTAGAATGTTTATGAAATTGTTGGATATATATTTTGAGAATTCAGAGGAGTATAATTTTATTTGATCTTGTTTTTTTATTAAAGTATTACTAATGATTGTTTTTTTTGTTCTAGGTTTTGTTAGGTGGCTTTAAACTTTCTTGGAATATATATTTTGGGAATTCTGGGGAGTATGATTTATATAGTTATTGTTTTGTTAGTTCTTGCTTATAAACATATTACTAATGCTTCTTTTTAGGAGTTTTAGAGTGTCTCAGAATTTTTTAAAAACTATAGTATATTTTTTGCGAATTAGGCATATTTTTTATTGTTGCTTTTTGGTTTGTAAACAAATGCATTACTAACACTTTTTATTTTTCTAATTTAAGATGTTTTTTAGCTTTCTTGAGAGTAGTGAAGTACAGCTGTCATTTTATTACACTGTTGGAAATTATAGATAACTGTTTTTTGAATTTTCTATTATAAAGTAATCTATGGTGCTATTGGAGAATTTCATTGCTTTCAGTGCTATACCTTTAAATATTATCATTGGAGATTTCGATACTCTTGTGCTATTTGTTCTTTTGATACTGTTCATCTTTCAGTGCTGCTGTTTTAATTTTCTAGGTCATGGTTTCTATATCATTCATCAGTGTGAGATTTTATATATGTGTTGTCATT